GAAGCCGTTATCGTGATGGTCACTGTAGCAGTTACTAGTATCGAAATCAAGGGGGAAACGGCGGATTCCGGATTCCCGGGATTCCCAAGATTCCCAGGATTCCCACGGGATTCCCAGGATTCCCACGGGATTCCCGGGATTCCCATGGGATTCCCAGGATTCCCATGGGATTCCCGAGATTTCCATGGGATTTCCAGGATTCCCAAAGGATTCTCCAAAAAATTTCCGGAATTTCCACCATACTTGCGGGTTCCTCATTGTATCTGAAAATAACAGAAAACTATAAAACAATGAATCAGAAGATCCAACTTTCTTTAATTTACTGTTTTTATTAACATAACTCTTTTATTTCTTAATTTTGCGATTGACCAAAAGATGCAGGATTGTTGGCCACTACTTTCAGACAGTGTTTCTCCTCTTCGGCACGTAGAGACCATCCTACTGCGAAGAGGTGGATGTGTATTCGGAAAACCCGCATCCTTATTTGTTCGCTATGTGTGGTTTTAATTTAAAAATTCAAAATGGATTGAAACAATTTAGGCAAGTTTTATACGGAATACTCGTGCCTATTTATACCTATTTTTGCTTCGGATGATACTCGGTAAACCCGCATCCATACATTGATTTTTAGGCATTTTTCGGAAAACCCGTGCCTACTATTTTCTTTTCATGTGAATCTCTTTCGGTAAACCCGTGTTCACTGCTCTATTTCTCTTTGATATTCATTACCATGAATTTGACAGGCAAATATAAGCCCTGAAAAATACCAGAGTCAATTTAAAAAAAAACATCTACTGATATGTGAAGTTTAGATACATCTTGTAATAAGATTGGTATCAAGTCAACTGAGACATTAGAGAATTTTGGTTTTTTATCACATAGAGGAAAAGCGAACTATGAAATATCAATAAAAGAAACATGAAGCAATAAAAAATAGCAGAAGTTGATCATGTCAAAATATTCCTAAGTATTTCTTACAAGCTTTTTATTTATCTAAGAACTGCTTTGTTGAACTCGTCTAAGTCGATCAGCTGACAAACGATTATTAGTATCTGTTAAAAGCCAGCAGGCTGTCTGTTTGTGAATATATTTTTTTTTCCCATCAAGTTCAACACGAAAGTAGGACTTCGCAAGTGAGGAAGGAATAGTGTCGCACACTCTCATTCCATGAAACTGAGATTTACCACTAGCTGAAATTGAAGACACATTTTCAGTTTCATCATCACATGAACTATCATCATCTAAGTCTGCTGCAGTATTGATATCCGATCTGAATTTATAGCTTGATTCTTCATTATCAGATAAATACGATTCATCATCATCGTAGGAGACCTTTTCAAATTTTCTATCAAACTGAGCTCGTACAAAGGAGCTCACTTGAAGCATTTCAGTTTGTTTTGCTTTCTTCAAAGCGATATGAACATCAAGCTTAGATAGTAGATCATAAGCATCATCATATGCTTGACAAATTGTTTTTTTAATATTATCACAAGTGAGAAGATGGATAGACGCACTCAGAACTACGTTTTTAGAAGCAGCACTTTGTCGACATCGCTTGTGATGCTTAGGAAACTGTAAAGAACAGCTTAACTGACCAGATTCACTCTGATTTTGTATATCAGCAAGTACTGATAGTTTACCAGCTCGTTTAAGAAACTGTTCAGTAGTAAAATTAACTACTGTAGAAAAAACACCTGACATTGATCTTGAGTTACGAAAAGTTGCTTCGCAAGACTATGAGTGATAATTTGAAAACCTAAGAGCAGAAATGGGCAAATCTTGCTGATGCACAAGTAAACAAATTGTAACTAGGCTATGAGCATTCATTTCTATAGAAAAATGAGCAGGAACAGTAATAAATAAATTCTCTTTTGACATTTGAGAATGAGATTCTGAAATGTCTTCTTTATGTACTAAATGCAGCCAGGTTTGCCATATACGGCATATAAAGACTGCTAGCCAACTATGATAGATGCGATCGATTATCGATGTATTATGGTCAATATAGGCGGGTGCTATACTACGCAAGAGGCGCAAATAAATTTGTGTGGCTAAAGAACCATCAATGTCTTCAAGAGCATTGATTACTTCCTCATTCAGAATCTTGAGGCAAGACTTATAGTTTTGCTTGTCGCTCGGCTCTATATCAGTTTTTACAAGTCCATGTATAAACTTCGATTTAGTTTCTATAAGTTCATTCAGTACTTTAATGGAAACTTCTCCTTTCCCAATCAAAAGTGATGCGATTTCAGAAAGCATACGATTACGGAGTTTAGCACATAAATGTATGGGATCTTGAAAACAAAAAAAAACTTGATGGGAAGGCATAAAAAACCATCCTGACCAATCCTTTGGTAAATGGATCTTTAACATATCGTTACGATTATACAACGGAGTATTAGTAAGTTTTGCAAAAAAACCTGTATTCAGACGCATTGCTAACAAGTATCTTGGATCGCAATCCGTAGAAAAAGCAACAATACGAACGTTTGACTCTTGAGACTTTTCAAAAATCCATATCCATTGATTAAGAATATCAATGGCTTTAAATTTGTTACTGATCCCATATGCGGCAAGCAGGAATGGTGAGGTATATGGTTTAGATTCAATGAGCGATTGCATCATATGAACATTTAAATAGTTTGGCTTATCTTTATTCTCGAACCATTCTTTTAACACATCAAAAGAATCTGTCTTAAAATAACCAGATTTAGGAATACCATTTTCGAGTGGAGTCGCGAATCCACCAAATGTGTTAGTAGCAGCATTACATACTATGGGCTATTTAATTTCAGTCTGAATTCATCAAAAAAAAATAATAGGTTTCAAGGCAAGACGTTGGGCAGGTGGGGATGGGGGGGGGGGCGTGACTGAGGGTGTGGGTGTTGGTCTGGGACCCACACACACACCCACACCCATGGTGCGGGTGTGGGCGCGCGAGTGAGGGTGAGGGTGTGCTTGTGGCTTTGTGTACTATAGGCTTTAGTCCCCTGCACAAGGGACTAATCGGGGACTAAGCTTTTTGTGGGGGGGACTAAGGGGGACTTTGCAGGACTAGGGGGGACTAAGGGTTTTTAGTGAGACTACGTAGTATCAAACGAGAAAAGTTTGATTCGGAAGAAATTGGTGCGGTTTTTTTGATTTTAGAATTCAGTTTGAAATAAAAAAGCCCATAGACTCCAGCATTATAACTAACTTTCTTTACGAGTAGCGGCGGATCCAGGATTTTTCAGTATGCTAGATTTCACCTTCAGACTATGGGACCCAGATGGAATTTATAGAGGTATGATATTGGAATCAAATGATGAGTTTTTATTAAAGGATTT